TTAACCATAGCGATTGCTTCGCAGATTTCAGTGTTAGCCTCTTCTGTTTACTGATGTCTTTTTTGTTTTTTTTTTGGAATTTTTTTTCGTTAGGTTGAAGAGCAACAATGTAGCGACTGGAAAACAAACTAAGAAGGCTGCGAAGGATCCAAACGAACCGAAGAGGCCTGCCAGTGCTTTCTTCGTCTTCATGTATGAGTGGTTCATTACTTTCAATTTCTTTTAATTTTACTTAAATTTGTTTTTGGGGACTCATAATCTTCTGAAATGGAGTGGTTGATTTGGTTAATTTGTTCTAACATTGCAGGAGACTAGTCATCAACAATTTGTTTTTGGGGACTCTGTTTTACATGATGAAAACAGAGTAAAACAGAGAGGACTTAAGGAAACATCATACGAAGACTGGATGGGAACTTCAAGGCTTTACTGACATTGAAACCGGATGCGTGCACTATTTTCAATTGCACACAATCTTATATGCTTGGTTTGGAATTTGATAGGCTGCTTGCAGCTATATGTAATCCAGCACAAGATGATCAATCCATCATCCGTTTATCCATTGGTGATAGAAAATTGCCTCATTATTCAATCGGGTTTCCCACTTTTCTTACTAATTTTTCTTTGATTATTTTAATTTTGTTATACTCTTCAAATTTCATATTGTTAATTGTTCTTTGTTTGAGAGTTGGTCGATTGGAGTTTTGCTTTGTGCTGATTTTTTATACAAATTAATAAAAATTGTAATTATTGTAATTTTGGATGCTCATATGACAGAAAACAATGGTGGTTAATTGTTTTTAATCATGTTATAGGTACAAAAAATTATAAATAAAATTGAATTATCAATAAAATTATAAATAAAATAAAATAAACTAAAATTGAAATATCAATTGTAAAACAAAAAAAAAAAAGGATTTATATTGATGGAAAAAGCTGTTGGTATATCATTGAAATTATCTGTCTGTAAATACGAGGGTTTATACAGATGGAAAAATTTTTAAGATTTCTCAGGTCTATACCAACGGATAAGTCTTCCATCGGAATAGATCTAAGGGTATATACCATCAGATAAAATCTTCCATCGGAATAGACCCAAGGGTCTATACAGACGGAAATTCAAGAGATTTCTCAGGGTCTATACCAACGGATAAGTCTTCCATCGGAATAGATCTAAGGGTCTATACCATCGGATAAAATCTTCCATTGGAATAGACCCAGGGGTCTATACAAACGGATTAGGCGTTGGTATAGACCCTATACTAATGAGGTTTCCACCGACTAAAAGTTAGTCCGTTGGAATAGTCCTGGGGGTCTATACCAACGGAAAATGGGTCTATACAGACGGAAAAGTTCCGTCAGTATAGGTGCATCTCCTTGTAGTGATATATAAGAGAAGAAGTATAAAATAGAAAGACAACGAACGCAAAGAGGCCATCAAGAATTTTTATTATTTTTCTTTCTTTCATATCTTTCTCATAATAAAAAGCGTTATGTACAAGGTAGTAGAGTGGTAGGAGTGACAAGAATTACAATACAAGTGTTAATCACTACTAAATAAGAATAGTTAATCACCAATAAATAGAAATAAATCACTATTGCATGTGTAAGTGGGAAGTTAATCACCATTACATTGAGCATGTAAATGCATGAGAAAGTGAGGAGATGAAACATTTACAATGAATTGATGCATGACAGAAATTAATTTCTATGTGTTCTTTATGACTTTGTCTCACTTAAATTTGCATGGCCAAATCCCTTATTTACACCTTGCATATTATATTTTTTCATGGTTGACACCTTGCACTCTCAATCAACATCCTCTACAATTTGAAACTTGCAAAAAACCACAAATTACCAACAAAGTTAGGGTGCAAATAAAAGGTTTGACCATTAATTTTTTTTATGTGTTTTAAATTATAAAAAGTGTTGACTAAGAGTAAAAATGCTTGATGGTGTTGGTTGCAGGAAATATAAAGGGTGCAAATAAGGTGTTTGGCTAATTTGCATCGATTTCATTGTTTTGTAGGTGAAGTTTAGAAATTAAACTCAATAAAAATTAGTGGCAACCTAAGCATATTGTAATATTTTGACCATAACTTTCTCTATAGAAATTGGATTGAGATGTGTCTTAACAAATAAAAAAGCTAAGAAATAGAGCTACAAATCATCTTTTCAGAGCCAAACCCAATTCAATCGTCTTCAAGTCAAAATTCTAGTCGGAAGTCCCAAATTTAGAGGTGGCAATTTGCGCAAAAAATTGGATAGATGAGCTAGGGTATGGGCTTTTAATTTTATTCAAATTAGGGGTCTAAAGCCCCCCTCCCCCCCCCCCCCAAAAAAAAAAAAAAAGAGAAACCAAATAGTTTAAAGAAGGGCATGGAGGGGAAGATAATAAAAACCCACTTAGATGAAATTTGTGTCTCCTATCCCATGTTTGGGTGAAGATATGATTAGCTTGGCGAGCAGGAGAAGGATTAACTAGATTTAAGAAAACTAGTTGGTTGACAGATGGAAATTGTCATCTCATGCAATAATACTTAAGAAATCTTAAGGTTTATTTGGTCTTGGATTAGATTAATTAATCAGTTGTATAATTTAGATTAAATGAAATCTAAATCTTAATTCCTTTTCATTTATAGTTTCTTTCCAATTAGAAATTCCTTAGACTGAGTAGTGTAAGTTTACTCAATTAATCAGTTAATTCAACTTAAGTTAGATTAATATCATATTATAATGTAAAGTGGTCTTCAAGGGAACAATATTTTACTCATTCTTATATTGCACAATTGATTATGTTCACTTATCTAAGAGTAGTATGTATTTTATGCATCACTTGCAACACTAGTTACAAACGAAACTATGCCTATAAAAAAGATAAACAATTAAGTGTAAAGAGTCATGCATCTATACCTAGGTTACCAACTGTTATGTAACTTTAGGAGAGCAAGATTTTAGGTCACTGATAGTCCCCATGCATTGCAAGCCTACAACCATTGATGAAGCTATCCCATAAAGGGATAGATTCCCCCATCAACATTGCATATTCCCCATTAGGTGCCTTTAGGATCTGTTTCTCATTATAAATACAAAGCATCTACTCCTTGCTCCTGAAAGAGATTTCTCCCTCTTCCTTTGCTAAAGGTAGGATTTAACCAACCACAATCATAGCACTTCTTTGACTAGACTTGACCTAGTTGCCTCACAAACCATGAGCCCCCAATACCTCACGCCCTTGGCTTGTTTGTAAATGACTAGATATTTCACACCCTAGGTTCAATTGCCACAAACAACCCCAAAGGTTGTGCACATGGTTTGTTTCATCTACCACAAACAACCATAAAACTTTTGCCCCTAGTTTGTTTGCTACTCTAGATCAATCCTTGTAGACATAGAGATGAAAAGAAGAGAGGAAGAAACTCTTTCATGTGGAGAGAAGTCCATAACTCTAAGAACAAACCCTAAGGGGAGATGGTGGTGCCATTTTTAGCCATATTTTAAGTGGAAGGATTTGATGACTCCTCCTTCCAAAGCAATAACTTAAAAACCATATGTTCATTTTAAAAGGTTAACTCCTCATTTTGGTCCCTCTTTTTGGTAAAAAGCCCTTTTTCAATCATTTTACTTAAAAAAGTCACTTTTTAGTCCCTCTGTTAATTTTTACATACGTGACTCATTAGATAATGGAAATTTCAAAGTAGAAGGACCAAAAAGGGTCTAAAAACAGTCCTAATTTGGCCCCTCTACTTTAGAAAAAAGCCTTTCTTTGATTCCTCTCATTTGAAATTTGTTCGGGGGTGTTGGTGATGTAGATGGATGGGTCAGCAGCGATGATGAGGTGGAAGCTGACTAGGATGACACCCGAAAAAATTGGGGGGGGGGTTCTTTCGATGGCACCGGTCTCACGTGCAGAAGGCTACATGCTACGGGCCATATCACTCTGTTAAGCAATGATGTCTTGTAGTGAACTCTCCAGCGAAGCTTTTGAAAAGACAAATCTTCCAGCCAAGCTGGTGGAGTTGGGCAGCAATGGCGGGATTCCAAGGGTTCAAGATGATTACACAACTACCAAAAACATGATGGGGAGAAGTTGTGTGTTGTTAAGAAGGGACAACACAGATGGAAAATACATCTGGTTCAAAGATTACAACTTGAGAGTCATATTCATACATAGATCATTGTGGTATGATAATAATGACAATCAATGTGACCTCTTTCATCTCTAGTATATATCTTTACTCTATAATGAACAATTCTCATATTGAAAATAAAAAGTGCAGCAACTTCGCTCTTGAGATTCTTCCGAAGACAAAAGGATAAACTTGAGAGTGGTGATGAGAGAAGGAAGGACGACCGCTTGGGAGCTTACGAATGGAGCACTTGATCCCGTCTTTGATGCTCAAGAAGAACTAATCAGAAGCTGGAACTGTAGACTGTTGTTTCCCAGCCATAATATCTTGTTGATCTGAAATGTTCTACGATGTTGGGTGATATTTTGCAGTGCTAGAAAATGTTCTACAGAGTTGGAAAATATTCTGCAGAGTTGGAGACACAGGAAATTCAAGAAAATGGTGATTTTCAGATGGTTTCAGCGTGCAAGGCAAGAGGTTGAAGATAGAATATTTTTTAGGGAAAAATGGGAGCTTTGGTGAGTGAGGAAAAAGGGCTTAAGTTAGGTGCGTCAATCTATTTTTGTGTTGTATGCGTCTTTATCTTCTGGAAGATGAAAGGCAGATAATTTATATATATATGCAGTGGTATTGTTGTAATTTTTGGTTCATGGCTTAGAGGTGTGCAGACAGGTTGGGGTGAGCTGTCAAATTTTCGATGGTTCGAGGCACTGCTGGCAACTCTGTGATAGTGGCATCATGAATTGCCTAACGGTTCCAACAAAGCTTCGCTAGTTTTGGCAAAAAACTAGAAATTGTATATTTTTGGCAATGCCCCTAGCTATATGAAATCCCATCTTTGGGGAGGTGCTTGAGTGGAGTCGTCAAAAACAACATCTGCACAGGATTTGGTAAGTTCCCCAAGCTCTGCGCAAAATTTTGAAAGATTCTGCAAGCAAATAGTAATCTTTTACAACAATTTCCGAGGCCATGGAACTTGTGCAACCACCCTTGCAGTAAATATGGCTGCAAGTTGCTGATTGTAACCAAGATAGCATCTTTGGTTAGTTTTTGGCGAGATTTCCAACCTTCGGTTAGCATTAAATGGCACTGATCCAAGAATCAAGTTCATTTCCATGTCTTGGCCACATAGCCCCTTTCTAGTGAAGTCAGGCAGCATTGACAATGCCAAGCTTTGCTGGTGCGGATGCCTTGCTTCGCCAGACGAGCAGTGTTCATCCATCCATGCCTGCCAAGCCACTACTCTCATAGTTTATCTCGAATAATCCCCATGAGCTTGGACTCATGGGCTTGTGTTTATCTACAGTAAAAGAAAAGCACATGTGAGTATACATTTAGATATTTAAGAATAAGAAATATATAGGCATATGTAATGAAGAAGGAAACTCCTTCGTGTGTTGAAGGGGACAATGTGGATGAATGTTTGCTACTCTCCTTTACTTGTTGGCCATGGCCGACATCAGTATATTGTTGTTGTACATGACTAGCATTGCACTAGAATGAGAAACAAGTGGTATGGGTGTGTACTGCAATATCGTTGTCTTGAGCTAAG